AGTTAAGAGTTCCATAATACTGAATGGTTTTTGTTTTTGTTTTTTGTGTTAAAAGAAAATATGAGACGAAAAATACTTAGAGGCTGCAATCTGACACTAATTAAAACAGCACTAACAGCATAAATATTGTGCTTAGAGAGAATGGAATAAAATAGACATAATGGAGAGAAATTCTAAAATAAATAGTGTTTAAAACCAACACAGACTGAGAAAGATATACCTTTTGTTTTCCTAGTATGGCATCTCAGAGAGCTTTGATCCAGTTTGCTAGTTTGGGGAAAAGACTCACTCAGCCCTCTTCTCCACAGGACTGGAGAGCAAATGTAGGACCTGAGGCAATGACACTATGCATATTGCTTCAGGATAAATAGAAGCAGTTGCGTGGAAGAGGTTTTTCATAGAAGTTCAAGCTCTTTAGTTCTGCAGCTTAGGCCTGGTCTACACTAGACATTTAGGTCGAATTTAGCCTTCATAAGGTCAGTTTTCTAAACAAGTCCACACTACCAAGCCCATTCTGTCCACTTTAAGGGCCACTGAAGCCTATTTCAGTACTCCTGCTTTTCATGAGTAATGCAAAATTCGACTTTGCATGGTTGAGTTCACAGTAGTGTAGACCCAGTGTTCAGAAAGTCACGTTTCTTGGCCTCTAGGAGGCAGCCCACAGTGCCCTTCTTTGACCACTGGCCAGAACTTGTGCTTCTGCTGCTCTGCAGGTGAGCAGGAAGAGCCCTGGGCAAGTTTCATTTCCTGTGTGGCCACCATTTGAACACACCTCAGAGCACACAACACGCGTAGTCATAACTTCCATGAGTTCAAGTTCCATGAGTTTCAGTTCCAGGTGTGCAAAAGAGCACCAGCATGGAGTGTCAGGAGATCTTGGGCCTCATAAAAGCATGGGGAAAGGAATCCCGACTGAGTTGCAGAACGGCAAAAGAAATGCCTATATCTGTGCAAAGTTAGTAAAGTGTTTGGTGGAGAGAGGATGCTCCAGGGACTCCCAGCAGTACTGTGTTAAAGGAGCAGAGGCAGTCCTGTCACAAAATAAAGATGGTAATATGTGGGGCAAAAATATTTTAAATAAATAAACAAACAGGTGGTCTGGTGTTTCGCCACAAATGTACTGCTTCTACGTTCAGCTGCATGCAATCCTAGAGAGAGACCTGACCAGCTTCCCAAGCCAGACAATGGAATCCACCCAAGACACTCAGGGCAGCAGCATGGGAGACACTGTGGTGGTGGATGGGGAGCAGAAGGAAGATGAGGAGAATGGCCAGCTGGTGAGCAGTGACAGCCCAGAACTTTTCATCACTTTGAAGACAATCCCCTCTTCCCAGGACACCTCAGTCGGGCACTGATCCCAGAGAGGGCACTTCTGGTGAGTTCACAGTTCTTTTCTTGCTACAAGCGAGTTAAGGCAGTTGAGTGTGATGTGTGGGGTACTTCGTGCCAACACAATGTGGGGGTCCCGGAATAGCTTGTTAACGAAGCCTCTCTGCATATCTCCATGAAGCTCCCATGTAGGAACTCTTGGATCCTTCTCACAAGGTTTCTGGGGAGATCAGCCTTATTCTGTCCTCTATGGTAGGGACACCTTCCCATGCCAAACCAGCAGTAAGTGGTCTGGCATTAGTGAACCACAAAATATTGCAGCATAAGGCCCAGGTTTCTAGCCATATTCAGTCAGCATCAGCTCCCTATCACTCTGTGGGATTTGGAGAAGACTGATATCTCACATGGCAACCTGAATGAAGGAGGGGAAGCTTTTGGCTATTGCCTCCGCTGCTAGCAGGGCTTCAGCCTCTGGCATCCCCTCCCTCCCTTCTTTCCTTCTGCTCTCCCACCTGCAGGCTCCTGTGAGATGGGAAAGTAGTGCACTCCCAGGAAACATGGTATGGCAGATGCAAAGGAAGGAAGCCATGTGAGCCACCACCCTCCTCTGCCAGCATAACTGGACCCAATCCTCTCCTTTCACCTTCAGGCTTGTGCAGGATGGGAAAGTAGCACTCTCCTGGCAAATGGGGTGCAGTGGACACATAGGAAGGAAGCTGAGTGAGCCACTACCCTTCCTCTTCTGTGCCCCCTCCTGCCTACAGGACCATGTTCTGGCAGGCCCCTCACCATGCCTGCCTCCAAAAATAAGTAGTCCAGAAGTTCCCCTCAGAACTCTGTGTACCTGCTGTACAGTGGGCACCTTATAGATTAACTTAGGCCTTGCACAGACCACATCTCTATTGTCTTGAGAGACCTTTGCTGTATGTTAACAGATTAAGTTATATGCTCCCTAGTGTATCTCCTGCGGAGTGCCCCAAAGTTCGGTTCTAGGACCGGTTTTGTTCAATATCTTTATTAATGACCTGGACGAGGGGATGTATTGCACCCTCAGCAAGTTTGTAGATGACACTAAGCTAAGGGGAGAGGTAGATACACTTGAGGGCAGAGATAGGGTCCAGAGTGACTTAGACAAATTGGAGAATTGGGCCACAAGAAATCTGATGTGGTTCGACAAGGACAAGTACAAGGACGAAAGAATCCCAAGCATTGTTACAGGCTAGGGACCAACCAGCTAAGTAGCAGTAAATCTGATGAGGTTCAACAAGGACAAGTGTAGAGTCCTGCACTTGGGACGGAAGAATCCCAAGCATAGTTACAAGCTGGGGACCAACCGGTTAAGTAGCAGTTCTGCAGAAAAGGACGTGGGGGTTACAGTGGATGAGAAGCTAGATATGAGTCAACAGTGTGCCCTTGTAGCCAAGAAGGCTAATGGCATATTAGGTTGCATTAAGAGGAGCATTGCCAGCAGATCCAGAGATGTCATCATTCCCCTTTATTTGGCTTTGGTGAGGCCGCATCTGGAGTATTGTGTCCAGTTCTGGGCCCCCCACTACAAAAAGGATGTGGACGCATTGGAGAGGGTCCAGCGGAGGGCAACCAAAACGATTAGGGGGCTGAAGAGAACAACAGGCTGAAGAGAACAAATTTTTCTAATAGTAGACCACAAAGACCTGAATTTTCACAGACTTTTAGATCATATAGAATGTTTCTTCATACAATACACACTTCTATTTATATACTTTTAAAGTCTCTGTAGTTCAGAACATTTCCTTCTCCTTATTTTTCTTTAAAGCATCCACTGATCTTTTCCAAAGAAAGTGTTTTCTTTTGAAAGGGATGGAAAACAAATCCATTTTATAAGAGACAACTTTAAATGAAGCAAAGTCATAGGCAAACTGCTTTGGTTGACAAGGAATGTAGGTATGTGAAACAGAGAATGTCTACAACTGTAATGGCCTGGCCAATCAATGACTCCAGGATAGCAAAAAACTGGCCATCTGCTCTTTCAAATCCATATACACAACTCAAAGGCTTTAATATTTTCTTATTGGTTTGCTGTGCTACTAAATTTCACATTTAGCAGCAAGTAGTTATTAAGAGCAGCTGATTTATTGGGCAATTTATTTACTGACAATTTGTTGCAAAGTGAGGGGTGAATTTTTGAATCAGGCACGATGGTGATATTTAATACCAGTATTTAATACTGACTCTGTGGGTGCTCCGGGAAAAGGCAGTACAGAGCTGAGGGCTTGGGCAGAGAGGCAGGGCAAGCATCCTTTGGCAACTCATAAAGACAGCATGTACATTCATGGCAGTGGGAAATAAACAAAAAGTTGCTAAGTTCAAGGATTGACTTTTTTTTTACCTTGGCTTGCAAGGAACAAAGGGATGATTAGAACACCTTTTGGTGAAGAAAAATGATGGATTTAGTTCATTTGTACAAATCAAGGTTCTTTAAGCAGAAAATCTGTGCCACCACATTTATGCATAAATTGCTCAACCTGGTTTGGGTCTCCCAAGTGACTGGAGTTTTTCCTTCTTACAGTTTGTCAGATCACTAGTTTGCTGGTTCTTTGAGTGTGGTGCAACACTCCTCTTTCTTGGGTGTTCTTTAAGGAAAGCTAAGCTTATAAACTAATTATGGTCAAAAGGAAACAAGAAGAAAAAGTACAGATGGTAGCTACATGTACCACTCACTTACCTATCCTCTTTGCATGTTAATTACAGAATCCAAATGATAAAAGCTTAACTATAATTTTAACAGACTTCACCTATAAGCACCTTGTAAGCTCTTGGGGTTCAGAACATCTGTTTAGTCTGTGTTTGCACAGCCCCTAGTGCAGTGGGATCCTGGTACAGGACTCAGGCTCTTAAACTGGAGTCAGTGGGACTATTATTACATATAATTAATAAATAGCAGAAGAAGTAATACAGAAGTATTTGAGTCCTCACATGCTTGAAGATAAGTATTCTCTGTAGAGTTTGGGACCTGAGGCCTTAAAAATAGCATTTCTTGTTTAACTCAAAATATAACAATACATCTACTAGGCACAAATGTCAAACCTTGTTTATTATTGTGCTTACTCTGAGTTACATGCTGTTAACAAATCTTTATGAAACATACTGATATAGTAGTATTTCACTTTCATGGAAGAATCTATTCAAATCATTATGGCACAAGAGAACTTTAGACAGAGGAATAAGAAAGCAAAAAGTGTGTTTGTTTAAGTATTTTTACTAATATTTATATTCATTTGCCCTTACACAGGACTCTCTCATCTAAAGTGTTTAAAGTAAAAAAAAAAAAAAAGACTTACAACACATCTCTTGATTGTACACTTCAAAGGAATGGAAAAAGAACCATTCTGAGCCAAAAATGTGACTTTTCCTTCTAGAACTTCATTTATCTAAACAAAATAATTAAAAAAGATGCATCTAAAGAGATCAAGCATTAAATCATTAGCCATCTGAAAGAGTTAGTAAATCAACTCATAAATTACAACAAAGAAATAAATACATCTTTAAGATTAGCTATAGTAACATAATTTTAGAGTAATGAGGTTTCTATGTAAATGCAACATTTTGTTGATTACCTAACTTATTTTAGGAAAATACCGTTCAAGTTTGGAATAGATTTCAGCCTGAAAATACATGCTCCAGATATATTTAATCCTTGGAGTTATAATAAAATATTGCACCTGAAAACACCAGTGTAGTGTGCCAAAAATAAATAAATAAATTTTAAGGTTGTAATTATCTTTCTTGAAGAATAGCTAGCCAAAAACTCAAAAAGTAATAGCAAAATGTTTAAGTACATCAGAAGCATGAAGCCTGCTAAACAAACAGTGGGGCCTTTGGACGATCGAGATGCTAAAGGAGCACTCGAAGATGATAGTCATTGTGGGGTAGCTAACTGAACTCTTTGCTTCAGTCTTCATGGCTGAGGATATTGGGGAGATTCCCAAAGCTGAGCCATTCTTTTTAGGTGACAAATCTGAGGAATTGTCCCAGATTGAGGTACCATTAAAGGAGGTTTTGGAACAAATTGATAAATTTAACAGTAACAAGTCACCAGGGCCAGATGGCATTCACCTAAGAGTTCTAAAAGAATTCAAATGTGAAATTGCAGAGCTATTAACTGTGGTTTGTAAACTATGCTTTAAATCAACTTCTGTACCTAATGACTGGAAGATAGCTCATGTGATGTCAATATTTAATAAAGGCTCTAGAGGTGATCCTGGCAATTACAGACTGGTAAGTTTAACATCAGTACCGAGCAAATAGATGAAACTATAGCAAAGAAAAATATTGTCAGACACATAGATTAACATAATTTGTTAGGGAAAAGTCAGCATGGTTTCTGTAAAAGGAAATCATGCCTTATTGGTTACTAGAGTTCTTTGAGGGTGTCAACAAACATGTGGACAAGAGAGATCCAGTGGATATAGTATACTTAGATTTCTGGAAAGCCTTTGACAAGGTCCCTCACCAAAGGCTTTTAAGAAAAGTAAGTTGTCATGGGATAAGAGGGAAGGTCCTTTCATAGATAGATAACCGGTTAAAAGACAAGAAACAAAGAGTAGGAATTAGGAATGTCAAGTAGCGATTAATTTGCTAGTCGAGTAGTCGATTGAATTTCCATCAACTTCTTGACTAGTCGATAAGCACTTCCATGTTCTGCTTTTGAAATGTACAAGAGCCCCAGCAGAGGCTCTTGTGCATTTCAAAGTTTGAATGCTGTGTGGTGTGCAGGGCCAGCAGGAAGTCCCGCTGACTCCAGGCTCCATGTGGGCGCTGCAGCTTTGAAATGCACAAAAGCCCTCTCTGGGGACTCTTGTACATGCCAAAGCAGCAGTGCCACACAGAATCCGGGGTCAGCTGGGCAGTCTCCAGCTGATCCCGGGCTCCACCCGCAATTTTAAAGCGGCAGCACTGCAGGGAGCCTGGGCTCAGCTGTTATTGGTCACTGTCGACAGACAGGATACTGGGCTAGATGCACCTTTGGTCTGACCCAGTATGGCTGTTCTTAAATTCTTTTTTTTCAATAAACAAAATTGGAGTAGTGACACTATAATCAAATTGGGTAGGTGGACAACACTACTATTCATATCCTGTAACTAATTCATATTTGTATTATAATTGCTGTATTAAGAGCACTTACCATTGGTTTAAATGTTACCACCACTTCACATGACATTCCAGCAGACATCTGGCCAGGTGGATCAAAGCTGTGATAAATGTACACCACTGAGTTAGACGTGTATTTGAAAACTCTTGACTCCCAAAATTCATAGAAAAATAACGTATTTTGACCTGAGTGAATTTATTACACACACAAGTTTGAAAGAGTGACATGCCAGTGGAGGGCTGTGCAAGCATTGAGAAATAATACACACACTTTATACTTTCATAGAAAGTCTCAAAGTGCTTTACAAAAGCCAATGTTGTTGTGCTAATTTTACAGATGGGAAAACAGAAGTACAGAGGCATGAAGTGTTAGCTGAAGATCTCACACAAGGCCAGTAGCATTACCAAGAATACAACCTAAGTTCTTGACTTTAGTCTTCTTTTTTAGCTACTAGGACATAGCTTCTCCCAATATCTACATGTGTCCGTTGAGCATCCTGATATGTATTACCTCTGCTAACCAAGTTCTAGAGCAGGTTAAAGATAAATTTAAAAGAATCATGGAGTCACAAGGTGATTACTCAGTATTACACTACATGGTGTCCATTGTAAACTGTAAACAACAGCAACATTTATATCTTATCCTTTGAGCAGAAATTGCCTATTGTTTCAAATTGTGCTATATTTCATGGTCTTTGTGGTGTAAACAAAAAGTCCACCAGGGACTTCTACGAGACCATTACACTTCTTTTCAATTGTGACTGGAACAGGATTTGTGAAAAAAGAAATCAAGTTGGGCCTATCTTGGGCCTGTTAGAAACATACCTTAAATCAATCGTAAGAAAAAATAATTGTATTAAAGGAGCATTAAAAAAAATCCTCCTCTGATTGCACTTGGAAAAAGGGACCACCATTCAAGGTTCTGGAGTTGAAACATGCTTAGTCTGGAAAACTTTGCTAGGCCAGTGGTTCTCAAACTTGCGGGACACCAATGGGGTCACCAAAGCTGACATTAGACTTGTTGGGCCTCAGGGCTGAAGCCAAAGCTGAGCTTCACCATGCATGCATGTGATGCGTGAAGTAAATCAGATATCAAGATAGCTTTGATTTACTTGGTAGTTTTTGAATGCTTGGCAAAAATTGGTTGGAGTTAATACATTGTTAATTTATGGCTTTCTACTTGAGATGAGATAACAAAGCATTTGATAGCTTTTATGTACAGATCTGTGCTGTACAAGCAATTATTGTATGGTCTTACACAGTCTGATTTGAAAAAAAAGATATATAGATAAGATTTCTAGCTAGCTACTTGGTAAATGTTAGGGGAAAGAGAATAATTTAGTTTTTGAAACCTAAATTAATTCATCAGATACATTTTCCCATGTAGTTTCACAAAAAATTGCATTAACTTACTTTGTTCATAGTACCTGAAGCTTAATTTGTATGTTAGCAGGCATTTTTGAAGGTACTTTGACAAATCTATTATACCAAAGTAAGACTTGCTATAAATTGTAATTTATTTTTCAGTCATATATCAGTGATGCTGAATTAAATATGCAATTCAATGTACATGCTAAGTAAAGAAAAAAATTGTCAAGAAAATGTCTTTCCTAATCCATAAAAATATTTAATTATTTTTAATTAAGAAGTGTTAATACAGGCTGAACTTCCCAAATCCGGGACTCGCTACATCTGTGGTCCGGCAGAGGGGCTGGCCCTAGAAGTGGGGTGGGATGGTCAGGCAGACCCAGCTGTGGAACCCCTGGCAGCAACAGGGCCGGCAGCAGCCAGGTGGCCCCAGCCGGGAACCCTGGGAGACCCTGGGGTAGCGAGTAGGCAGCAGGGTGGGAAGCAGTGCTGGGCCAGCATTAGTAGGGCCAATGGGAGGGCAGGGAGCTCCAAGGAGAGGAGCCCAGAGTAAGGCAGCCAGCAGGGGATCACTAACCTCCCCTGGTCTGGCAAACTCCCTGGTCTGGGACAGCTCAGTTCCCGAGGGTGCCGGACCAGGGAGGTCCAACCTATAGTTAAAATCATGGGTTCGCATTTTAGATCAATGTAAATTAGAGTCCTATTCAGGAAAACACTTAAGAATGTTTAAAATTAAGCATGTGCTTAGGCGCTTTGCTGAACTGGGGTCAAATGTGCATTGATTCTCTGTGTCTGTGACTACATAGTTCAGCATTCAACTTTTTAACAATGGATGGACAATGTTCAAGATACTGTACAAACTTACATTAGTCAGTAGTGTCAAATGTCCTACTTCTAGTGCAAAATGTGTTAAATTAAATTAAAATTATGAAGGGCCATGAATGGCTGCATTGAGACAGACATTTGAAAGCAAGAGGTAATATTTAACAAGAACTTCTACAGAAGGTTGAATTCAGACCTTCTAGTTCTCAAGGAGGTTGTGTTCAGTCAGTAATTGTACTGTGTTCATATTCCAATACACTGTTGAAGGGACTGATAGGGTGGGGGATCATTTATGAAGTACTATGGCTTATCTTATTGAGGTATGGTTGGTAGGTGTCCAGTTTTGAACCGGATAGTCCAGTATTTGAGCTTTCTGTTCGGGAAACAAATTGAGAAAATATAAATGAGAACTTAGTATTTTCTAAATAAGATGTAATGTAGATTGTGATGTAATGTCAAGTGTGTCCGGTATTTTTGTTGAAACCATCTGGCAACTCTATATTGAGGTGGCTAGATATTCAAAACACATCTTATCGCTACAAAGTGACAGAGGGTAGTGAGCTGTAAAATAGAATCTCTCGAGTATGAAATCAGTTATTATAGTAACATGATTTGTTCATTTCAGTGGGCAATATATTGTGTTACTTCACTGGAGTACAGCAGAAACATCAATGTCAGAAACTGTTTCCTCAGGTTAGCCTGAAGAGTTGGCAACTTTAACATCATTTATATGAAAACCAAGCAAGTTTGGTTCAAGTAGTGTAATCTGTTAATAAACAGTATTTACACACAAAATGCTAGCTTTTTTCACTTTTAAGCCAGATCGTAATTGGTCTTTACAATTTCTGCGTCTTAAAGGCTGTTTACAACCCACACCACTTCCTTTGGGAGCCCACAGACCCTTCTCTCCCAAGCATATGCAGTGTTCTGATTCATGGGGAATGCACGAATGTCAGTGGTCTCAGGGCACTTAGGGAGATTGGTGGTTCAGTGACTATCAGTCCCTTTTGGACTCTGTAACACTTCTAGTGGGGTTCCCATTGTGCCACATGCAAGTTAATACTTTCAGCTGCAACGTACTGAGCATTCTAGCCCTGTTCCAGCAAAACACATGCCAGTTAACTTCAACCAGGAGCAACTGATGAGGGGCCAGTAACCTGGGAGGCAGTCAGGGGCGGCCTCGCCCAATGATGACGTCATGGGGTGCCCGGGCACCCGATGATTATGTCACAGCCATTGATGACCATGCAGGTGGGGGTGCCGATCGCACCTTCCACCTGGGGCGCCAGCTGCCGCAGCCGGCCTCGGGCTACTCCTGGAGGCAGTCCTACCTCCTCCGCCAAGTGATGCTGTCAGGAGGCTGGAGCAAGCTGGAGCCACATTGCTCCATTTTACCTGTCACTGCTGGTGAGGGTGGAGGGTCGGATTCCTGATGTGGGTGCCAATCTCCCACCTCTGCTAGTCCCCCAGATGCTGAGAGACTCTGGCCACACCAGCTTCTGGGTAACCCCTTTTTTGGGTCAGGAGCCCTAGATCCACAGAAAAATCAGTCCGGGGCCACACACAAATGAGAAGCAATTGGAAGGGACCTTGAGTGGTCTGCAGGCTGCATGTGGCCTGATCAAATTTTTTTGCAGCCCACGACTACATGTTTATAAATTATCTAAGAGCGGCCCATCCAGTTACATTGTTTATAAGAGGGGTGGCCAACCCGTGGTTTTCGAGTTGCATGCGGCTTTTTGATTAAGGAAATGTGGCTCCTGCTGGTTCTGAGCTGCACGCCAGGACTGCTCACGGCCAGCCGCTCTACACACGTGTCCTGGTACCTGCTCACAGATGGCCACTCTGTGCACACGCCCCAGCACCTGGAGGGAGAAGTGCGTGGCGATGTCGGTTCCGTGACCCAGACATTAGGTTAGAGTGGGGAGAGGGGGAGGAGCTAGCAGTGCCTGGCTCTGGGGGAAAAAAGGGGGACTGGGTTAAAATGGGGGCATGAGGGTGCCTGGCTCTGGAGGAGGGGGAGGGCATTGGGTTAGAGCAGGGAAGGCTGAAGCACCTTAAACTTAAAGTCTTCATGGATGCAAATAACAATTTTACTCATCAAATTATTGTATTATATTCAAACAAGACCTGAAAAATATTATAAAATATACCTAAACGTAATACATAACAATAAATAATTACAACTTTCTGATAGAAGTACATTTTCTTTGGTGGCCCTGAAATCTATCAGTTATTGTTTGTGCGTCTCTCAGTAGGCTTTGAGTTTGACGTACCTGGTTTAGACCATCCCAACAGATGTCTATCTAACCTGCTCTTAAATATCTCCAGAGGTGGAGATTACACAACCTCTCTCAGCAATTTATTCCAGTGTTTAACCACCCTGACAGTTAGGAAGTTTTTCCTAACGTCCAATCTAAACCTCCCTTGCTGCAGTTTAAGCCCATTGCTTCTTGTCCTATCATCAAATGCCAAGGAGAACAATTTTTCTCCCTCCTCTTTGTGACACTCTTTTAGATACTTGAAAACTGCTATCATAGCCCCCGTGTCTTTTCCTTTCCAAACTAAACAAGCCCAGTTCTTTCAGTCTTCCCTCATAGCTCATGGTCTCTAGACCTTTAATCATTCTTGTTGCTCTTCTCTGGACCTTCTCCAATTTCTTCACATCTTTCTTGTAATGTGATGCCCAGAACCGAACACAATACTCTAATTGAGGCCTAATCAGCGCAAAGTAGAGCGGAAGAATGACTTTTCCTGTCTTGCTCACAACACTCCTGTTAATGCATCCCAGGATCATATTTGCCTAACGTGTGTGTGTGTGTGTGTGTGTGTGTGTGTGTAAAACCCTCACTGACATGGCCCCCAACTGAGAAGGTGAAAGACACTCCCCACATTGCCTTTCCCACATCAAAGCTGAGGGGGCCCCAGCCTGCAGAGGAAAGTGAAAACCCATGGGGGTCTCTAGCAATCTGACCCAGGAAAAAATTCCCTGCCAGCCCCAAACATAATAATCAGTTAGGCCCTGACTATGTGGGCAAGACCATCCAGGCAGATACATGAAAAAATCTCAGTAGTAATTATAAGACCTCCCATCTTGTGTCTTATTTCCAGCAGTTGGGGATTTTTGCTAGTGGCTGTTACCAGTGGGCCATGTGTCGTCATAGGTCGTCCCATCGTATCATACCCTCCATACACTTATCAAGCTCAGTCTTGAAGCTAGTAAGGGTTTTTTTTGCTCTCAGTTGCTCTCCTTGGAGGGCTGTTCCAGAATTTTCACTGCTCTCATGGTAAGAAACTTTCAGCTAATTTCAAATCAAAACTTGTTGGTAGCCATTTTGTATCCATTTGTTCCTGTATCTACATTGGCGCTTCACTTAAATAAGCTGTCTCCCTCCCAGGTATTTCCCCCTCTGATGTGTTTATAGAGAGCAATCCTATCTCCCTTCAGTCTTCTTTTGGTTAGGCTAAACAAGCCAAGCTCTATAAGTCTCTTTCGTAAGATAGGATGCATGAGGCCTCTGCAGGGTCAGAACAAATAAAGATACCTCTATGAGGGGGGTCCTGGTATTCTGAACATCTTGGGTACAGTGATTTTATTCATCACATTTCTGTAAAAAGGGTCCACAAGTGAAAGCTCATTTTGCCAAAGAGCACAGGCCTCGATTTACAAAAATAAATTCCTGAAGTGCAGCTCCTAGTGCTGTGTCCCCAGGCACCTAAAAGAATGGCACTCAGAACTACGGCAAACCAGGCTTCTAATGTAAGTACTTACATTTGGATTTAAATGCCTAATTTTAGGCCCCCATTTTTTTCAAGTCTCAGCAGAAAGTTATGACTGCTGGTGGTAAATAAAATCACATTAACATATTTTAATGCACAAGTATAAAGGGTTAACATGAGGAATCTAGTGACCTTGATGCTATGCTTTCATACTGTATCTGAGAGACGGAATAGCAAAAGGGGATGAGAATTGCTCTGGAAGGTAATTTTTTACAGCTCTAACAATACGGACTCCGCTGAGAATAAAATATAAATGCAGTAAAGACAAGAGCTGCCTGACTAAATTTATCAGACTGTTCTGATTTTAATAAATCATCCTCTCATATTTTGAGCCTGTTTACTTACTGAATACTGATGAAATCCTTGAGATGCTCACTCACTCCCACCAGCTTGCAGAAGTTAACACTGTAAGATGCATTTATCAAAATTATCTTCTTTTTGTAGGTTCTACCAACATCAAAATCCTAGAAATAGCAAACAGATTAAATCACACCTCCCTGGAGCTGGTCGCATTTTCACATGTGATGATGATATTCTTTTTATAATGTGTACTGTGGTAGCAGCCAATGGTCCCTATCAGGATCATGGCCCTTGATGCTAAATCCTATACAAAAACATTCAGCGACAAGGAGTCCTATGGCACCTTTTGCAGATCCAGACTAACACGGCTATCCCTCTGATACTTAGAAACATTCAGGAAGTTTTGCTGTCCCAAACAATCAAAAAACAAGGAGACACAACTGAGTAACAATCAGCAAGAAGGAAGCTGAGTGCACAACTTCACGGTTCCAAGCCTTTTTGTTTGTTGCCTTTAGTGAATGCATATAAGAATATTATTACCTTAAAGTCTGTTTCATGGTTCTAGCACTGACCACAGGACTGAGAACTAGGAATTCCATGACAATTTTGAAATCAGTTAATTAAACTAGAATTTACACTATGGCTCCAGCTACATTTTTAAAACTAGTTAAGATTTAGAGGAAATTTTCCCAGTGCCTATAAAATACAATGCTAAAAGGCAGTAAATAAATCAGGTTGAACCTCTCTAGTCCAGCACCCTTGAGAGCAGATGGGTGCCAAATCAGAGAATTTGTCAAACGACCAGCTCTAAGGGCCTTAGTTCTTGAGGGGAGAGGGGCAGCTCCAGTTCCCACTGACTTCAAATGAAATTATGAAAATTATAGATGCTGTGCAAGTGTCAGGTACAGGCTGAACTTCTCTAGTCTGGCACTCTCTGGTCTGGCATGATTTTAGTTAGCTAGACCCATATCATGATTTTAGACCCATCTCATGGGTGTGACCAAGTTTCCTGTGGTCCCATTGTGACGTAGTGGGGGTACCTGGCTGGTTCTCTGGGGCACAGACGACCTGTTCCTTGGTCTCGCCCCGTAGTTGACTCCCTCCGTCGCTCAGCCGAGATCCGGTCTCTGCGCGGTTCCCTTTCTCTCTGGGACTCCCGTTCACACCCGGACCGGCTCTCCGTGAACTCATCCGCCAGCCTCCCGGCCTCCTGGGGGGTCTCTGGTCTCCGGTCCTTGAGCCACAGCCTCAGTTTGGGTGGGCACGCTTCATAGAACTGCTCCATCATGACCAGCTTGAGCAGCTCCTCTGCGGTCTGGGCTCCGACTCCAGACACCCACTTGCGGCAGTATTGCGCCAGGCGGGAGGCCAGGTCCACATAGGTCTCCCGTGGCCCTTTCTGTACCCCCCGGAACTTCTTCCTGTACATCTCGGGGGTCAGCCCGAACTTGTGCAGCAGGGCCTCCTTGACTCGGTTGTAATCCCCTGGCTGTAGGTCCTCCAGCTGACTGAGCACTCCGGCCGCCTCCTGGCTCAGTGCGGGGATGAGCTCCTGCAGCCAG